ATTATTCCTTAGCAAGTGTCTGAGTTTTATTTAATCCATTGATGCTAGAACCAGGAGGAAGACAAAAGAACTGATTCCAAGAGCATTTGAAGAACAAGGATTTATAGATAAGAAAGAAGATCTGAAATAAGATTGCTACATTAAGCATAGGGCTGGTGAAATGTCTACAGGGCAATAAACCTTGTCATGTTTGTGATCAAGTTCTTGACTGGGTGTAAAATCACACCAATATATCAATTTCTGCTGGTTAACCTCTAACACTACAGAGTTGTAAACTGCCTGCACCTTTACTGGTGTAGATTGTTAGTTAAATATGCTGTGATATTACCCATTACAGGATATAAGACGTACTACATTGAAAGAGATTCAGGCAGATTTCAAGAGTGAAGGACTTCGAAGCACCCTTGCTTCTGTGGCCTTTATACAGCATGCCTCTTAAGTTTCAAATGAAAGGAAGTTCATTGCCTGATCACCCAGAAGGTCAAGGGAGCCGATGCTTGGAGTCAGCTTCCTGCCATCCTATGGGAAGCTCCACTGAGGGTGTGGGGCGGCAGGGGAGCTAAGCCCAGACTGCCAAGTCCCTTACTCACAATTTCTGCCTGTCTGATGGTAGAGCAGTCTGCTGGTTTGTGTTGGGAAGTGTCCCAGGACCCAGCCCCCTTGAGTCACCATCTTTGTCACTTCTCTCTCTTATGATGGAACGTCCTTCTCTTTACCTCTCAGCCTTAAGCTTCCATATTTTTGGACCCTGGTCCCCGTATGCAGATAGACAGTCACCACACACTCTAGATCGATTCCCCCCAAAAGTGTGTATTACCTCATTTCCCCTTAGTTTCTTTCCCATCTTTCCATGTGCCCATTTCAGATGAAGAAACCAAGGCCCGAGAAGTTGTGACTTGCTGAGAACTATGTCGCTGATGCTAGCAGGGAGAAAATTCAAGCTTTTGATTTCAGCTCTAGAACTCTTCTCAGGTGATCCCCTTTCCTGAAATACAGTCACCATATAGTTCCTCACCATTACGTGTGGGCTCTGCTGCCACTTCCTCTGTATATGCATACCATACCTTTCTTTTTTTGGATGCAACCTTTACTTAGCTGACTTTATCCTTTGCTGGACTGTACCTTCTACCAGGAAGTCACACTCAATACACCTTCCCTCACGCCCAGTGCCTGTCCTGTGCCTATTAAAAGCCTATGAATCCTTTATGGTCTTTGCAAATGTAACCTTTGCATTCATTCTTCATCCTGTTTCCGTGGTTCTCTAGGTGAACCTCCCACGAAACCCTTGCGAGCGCAACATCATTTGTTTAACTAGGGGCACAGGGATTGATTGCTAAACATTTGTAGAGCTGAACTACAATGAAGTTACTTTATTTTGTTTTACTCAAGTAAAGAGGCGAGAGTTAATCTGTATTGTGTTTTGACAGGACAGTTGTTCCAATATAGAAAAGCTCGTATGTGTTTTGGCCCCACTCATGAAAACAATATATTTTTTCCTTCTTCATAGACGCCCCACCCTTTCTTTTCTCCAATTGTCCAACAATTCTTAGTAGAGAGAATTTAGAGAAATAAAAAATTGAAATCATATCTTGATCAAATGAGAAAATACAGTGTAATCCACTTTTTTGTTGTTGTTCATTGTGCAGTAATTAACAACTTCAGGGTGTCTATTGTGAATAGTAGTTTCAACAGACTGGACATATAGTGTAAATCCTTACAGTTAGCACAAGTGCAAAATAGTATTTACATTCCTTCCCATCCTGAAAGATGATTTCTCTTCTTAAAAGGAGTGCTACTTCTTATATGATATTCTACCTATCCCCTTGATTTTCAATTTACTAACTATTTTTGGATAGCGACTAACTTGGCTATTTTATTGTGCTCTGAGACAATAAAGCAGACTATGGGGCACTGTGAGGCTACTCAGACTTAATGCTTCCAGTTCATTCCATGCATGTGTTTATCAAAAATAGTTAGTAAATTGAAAATCAAGGGGATAGTAGAATATTATGTTAAAAGTAGCACTCATTTTAAGAAGAGAAACCATCTTTGAGGGTAGGAAGGAATGTAGATACTATTTTGTATTTGTGGTAACTGGAAGGATTGTCCGTGGTCACACAGCCTTCTAGTGAAAGATTTAGAAAGGGAGCTGGGGGCCACTTAGCTCCCCTCTAGACTAAATCAATGTAATAGTGTTTTAGGGCCCATCTGGTTTCTTGACCCAGCACTTACTTGCTTTGTAATCTTGGTTGGGCAATTTAAAAAATCACCCTAAGGCTCAGTGTCTTAATCAGTTTGGGCTGCTTTAAAAAAATACCATAAACTGAGTGGCTTATAGAAAACAGAAATTTATTTCTCAGAGTTCTGAATATTAGATGTCCAAGATCAAGGTGTTGGCAAGTTTGGTGTCTGGTGAGGGCCTACTTCCTGGTCCATAAAGGCCTTCTTCTAACTGGGTTCTCCTATGGTGGAAGAAGCCACCAAACTTCCCTGGCCTTTTTTATATGGCACTGACCCCATCCATAAGGGCTCTGCCCCATGACCCCATCACTTTCCAACAGCACTGCCTCCCAGTGCCGTTCATCTTCAGGGGTAGAGTTTTAGCATAAGAATTTTGGCTGTACGTAAGCCTTTGGCACCATAGCACTCAATCTCCTCATCTGTAAAATGGGAATTAAAACAGCTACCCTTCACAATGGTTGTGTGGATTAGATGAGACTAAATGTGTAAAATGCTTTCCGGTGTTGTATCAAGTCCATGCTAAGAATCATTGCTCTTCCTCCAGGTTCTCTCCTAACACTCCAAAAGGAAGGAAAAATAGAATAAAATAAAAGACTATAGTGTCATGCTTGCCACAGAGTAAGCTAGCAAATATAAATATTTTTGACACTTTTAAGTAAATTGCCTCTCATAAGGAATTTTGTAGTTTCCGAGTTTTAAAACTCTAGACAAATTTATTATTTTAATAAAAACTATAAAAGAATACAAAGTATTCTAGTATTCTAAACTTTGATTTTATTTAAATTTCAAGGACCCCAAGTATCATATATATATTTTTTCCAGTAGGAAATACCACATAGATATGAATTATGGGCATATTATGTATGACCGACATTACACTTGAACTATGATCAGGCTTACTGATGTCTTTTTAAGAAAAATAGTGTTTTAATAAAATCTTAACACAGAACTGTTAATATAAATATATACTGCATTTTTCTTGGTGAGTAGTTGGGAAATATAGTATTTTCAGTGAGCGAATCTGAATGAATTTTGAGAGACAATGCTTTTAAGCTGGCTAAAATGATGTGGCTAACATTTACCACTGACTGGGTAGTTACTGATCTTTAAAGGAAGAATAAAAATAAAAAGATATTTATTTGGATTTTTATTAGTTTTGTTTTTCTAACGTTAATAAGGGCTGAATAAGATACATTTCTGGGTAAGAGAATATAAAAAGGCTGTGAGGATTTAATCAGGTAGAAAATGAAAAAGAATTCTTCTCATACCCAGGATTAGCCAACGTTGTCCAGGAAATCAAGAGAGTTTGCAAATGTGACAGCTAGACTTCCCACCCATCATTTCCAGTGTCAAGTCTCTTTTCAATCCTAACTCATGCTACAGTTTGGTAATCCTCTCAGAACACCCAGTAGTGCTGAACTGGTAATGGGATCCCAGCTTGCCTCAATAACAGTACTTGAGAGATACCTGAGAGAATGCTCTGGCCATAACTGAGATAAAAATGACCTTTAGTCTAGGCGGTGGGTGTGGAAAACGCCCTTTAAATGGAAGAGAAAGAACAGATTAGGTGAAAATACTTTTAACATAAAAAATGCAATAAAAAACATTCAGAATATGTAAAAAGCATTTACAAATAAATAAGAACAAAGAAGCCTAGGATACAAGCAAGAAGCTCAGCAGATAAGTACAATGACCTCACTAGTATTCAGTTAAACACAAAGTAGAAACATCAATCAGATTGCCACAACTGAAAAATGTAATATATGTAGTGTTGCTCGAGATGTAGAAAAATGAATTCTTTTGGTCACAATGTGTTGCAATTCAGCCACTTTAAAATGTATTTGTTAGAGTAAGTCAATGGTTATAGAGAATGGGCTGGAAACGTATGATGACAGAAAAGAATCTCCATGACAGACTGAGTGAAAAAATAAATCATAGAACAGTTTATACGGTGTGATGTATTGCCTTTTGTTTAAAAAGAAAGGAAGGGAAGAGAAGAAGGGTGGAAAGGAGAGATAGAGGAATGAAGAGAAAGACAGAGAAAGGGAGGCAAAGAGGGGGAAAGAGTACTACTATAGATTTTCTGTAATAGTAGCTTTCAAACTCTTGGAAATAACTGCCGACAGGCCACACGTTTTATATCTTGACTGCACCCTCACAACGCATTCTGGACTTTTTTCTTTTTATTTCAAGAGCTTTAGGGGGTACAAATAGTTTTTGGTTACATGGATGCATTGTATAATGGCAAAGAAGTGTGGTCTTTAAGTGCACCCACCACCCCTGCCTGTGCACAATTCTGACATTTTTTTGATCTAGTTTCCAATTCATTCCAGTCAATTTTTCAAAATGCTAGCCATGACCCATTAAATAGATTTCAGGACTCAGTTATAGTTCAAAGAATATTGTTTGTGGCATACACATATCTAAGTAAATAAATAGAGAAGGACTGGAAAGCACCACACCACTCTGACAATGATGGGGAGGTGACTGTGATGGGTGATGGTTCCAGGGAGCCTTGAGACTCGTTTGTATTGCTAATGATTTTTTGTTTGTTTACTTGTTTTCACAAGGGCATCTGAAACTAAACATTTAAAAAATTTTTTTTTATATAGTAAGCAATCTCATTATTTTCAGAAGTCACTTGGATTAAGGGGTAGTGGTCAAAGGGTCATAAGGAAAATAATTTTTAAGTTAAATTGCATAGCTGATTAGTCCAGAGGGCAGACACTCTAGCTAACTCTCTCTGTTTTTGTATTTAGGGCCACAGATGAGCACATTCTTGTGGCAAGGTAGAGTCAAACTTATGTGATATCAACTCAAAATGTCATCACAAACTTAAGAACTCTCTGCCATGCTGTGAGATAACTTGTTACCTATGAACGTTACATCTACAAATCAAAAACATAAAGCAGTTAATATAAAAGTGATCCAAACCCAAGCCCTCTTTGAAAAAATGCAAAGTCTATCTCTCTGTAGCAACATCAACTTGGCCACGTAACACAGTGTCTAGTTTCAGAAATGGTTCTAGTCAAATGAGTCGTAACATTTTAAGAATTATTTCTGAAAGGAACACCACTGTAGACAATATGGCATGTATACATTTGGCCACCCATACAGTCTGGTGCAGACAATGCCAGGTCTCTGTTTTCTACTTTAGAACTACAGTCATTCTTTCTGATTCACCTTGACATTTGTACTCTAAGGGTAATTTATTAAACCTCTTCTTAATGATCAAATAATTGACACATAAGAGGAGTTACACACAGTGTCCAGAGGAAATAGATTCTTTAAATTCCAAAATTTGCTGGGCTCGGTGGCTCAGCCTGTAATCCTGCGCCTTTGGGAGGCTGAGGTGAGTGGATTGCCTAAGCCCGCGGGTTCGAGACCCACCTGGGTAGTGAGACCTCATCTCTACAATTAAAAAAAAAAAAAAAAAAATCAGCCGGGCACGGTAGCGTATGCCTGTAATTCCGGCTACTTGGAAGGCTGAGGCAGAAGGCTCGCCGGAGCCCAGCAGGTTGAGGCTGCGGTGGCCAGGAGCAGCCATTGCACTCCAGTCTGGGCGACAGAGTGAGACTCCAACTCAAAAAAAAAAAAAAAAAAAAAAAAATTCCAAAATTTAAACAGGGTATTAATTACACAACTAGAATTGAATTATTTCTTGTACTAATTTCTAACTAACTCAATAAAGGTATCCACAATATTTCTTTAAATGTTTATTTTTTTTGCATTTTGTGTCTTAAATATAAATGTTCATATGCTTATAATAAAACAAGTTGACTCCTTTAAGCTATCACATGAAATTTTCTCTTTAAATGTCTTGTAAACAAAATATTTATGGTAAAATATGCACACTTTCTCAGAAAGCACTTATATAAGAATCATTTTTTGGGAAATCTTAGCTGTTGCTAAAGCAATGATTCTGTTCCTATTTAATTCCATAGAAGCACCATGTTGAGTGAAGGGGAGAAAAAGATCTTTGGGACTTCTTAAAAACTTTTATTTTGTAAAAAATGAAAATTGGCAAGAGAAATATTTTTGCAGAGAGCTTGCTCTAGGTTAAGGGAAGGAAGGGAAAGAGAAGGAAGAGGGATAAAGGAAAGGAAGATAATACACATTCCATATCCAAGGTCTCCTTTCATTTTCTTGGCAGTCTCCAGTGTGGTTCTGTAGATGAAAGAAGGCATAGGTGGCTTAGTCCTAACCTAGAGAATAAAGCCATTCCTTTCAATAGCTTTATATTCCTTAGACTAGGAGTGAACCATTTTTCTCCATGGCATAGGAAGCCGATTAGGCAACTTCATATACAGTTGGGCACCAAATGAGCCTGAAACTGTGAAGATGGTGTGGCTCTATGGTGAGAATTCAGAGTAAATTTTGAATGTTCCCTGGGTAAACCTGGAGAAAAATCCAGGTGAAAATTACAATTTGTGATAATCAAGCGTTTGAAAGTTACTTAATTCTAGCTAATAGAATGTTTGTTTTTGTAATTGCCTATTCAGTAATAAAATTAGTTTTAAAATATATGTATATGCATTTTCTTTTAGTTGGAGTCTCATTTTGTCACCTAGATTGGAGTGCAATGGCACAATCATGGCTCATCACAGCTTTGACCTTCTGGGCTCAGGCGATTCTTCTTCCTCAGCCTCTCAAGTAGCTGGAACTACAGGCACATATCACCATGCTGGCTAATTTTTTGTAGAGACAAGTTCTTGATATGTTGCCTAGGCTGGTCTCAAACTCCTGGGTTCGAGCAATCCTCTTGCCTCAGCCTCCCAAAGTGCTAGGACTATAGGAGTGAACCTGCACATTGGCAGTTTTAAAATATATTATTGAGGGCATAAATATTTAAAAGCATGATAGTCTTTTAATTATACAGGTTTGAAACCTGGCTTTTCAGTGGCCACAGTATCTAAGGCACCACTGACGCACTGATGGTTGCCTGCTGTAATTGCAATCTATATATGTAAGAGATAAGCAGTCTTTCAAATGTTGTGTCTAGTAGCATCAAGATGTTACTTAGAAGTCTGAGAGATAAAGGGAAGGTATTGTTTATTCCATATCATAAAATATTGAAGTGTTACAGGGTCTCTGCATACTGTGTCATTGGCAGGGTGAGGTCTTTGCTTTACAATTTTTTGTCAATTTTAATTCATTTTTCCACTAATATAATTTTTGAAAGAACTTGACTAACTGTAGAATCTATCACCCGCAGCGTCTGCAGGAATTGCTGTGTCCCAGAGGAAAGTCCGTCAGATCAGTGATCCTATTCAGCAGATACTGATTCAGCTGCACAAAATTATCTACATCACACAGGTCAGTGTTTTAGCTTTTGATTTCCTTTTCATCTTTAAAGTAAGTTTGGTGCTAGTATTGCTGAAGAATTGCTTTGTGGGACCTTTGGTTAGAGTGAATACTTGCTTTCATTCTCTCCAATGACATATATGTGGGAACACTTTGGTTTAGCAGCAAAACTGGGAGGGTAGAAGAATGAAAACCAAATATATCAGATTTTCCCTGTGAATCCTAACCAGCTTTCACTGTTGATGCTCAGTCAAAAATAACCTGATCACAAATGGCACTTCAACACAAATGGCACTTCAGTGTAGGAGTGAAGTGGAGACAGAGTTGGGCTTCGTTGCCCATAAGCAACTTTACTATAGAAAAGGAAGAGAGATACAGTGTCCACTCTTTAATCCTGAGGATGCTGGGAAACCAGAACCTTTCGGAGGGTGAAAGCCAAAACCACACATTATTTGTAAATTCCAGTAACTGCTAGGCACTGAGAAAAATCAGGCATAACTCTGACTACTAGTGATAAACAACTTGAATGCTTATTGACCTTTGGTAAATGTGTTGAAACCTGGCTTTTCAATGGCCACAGTATCTAAGGTACCACTGACTCCTGATGGCCGCCTACTGTAATTGCAAGCAAGTTATGTAAGCAATAAGCAGTCTTTCAAATGTTATGTCAAGTGGCATCATGATGTTACTTATAAGTGTGAGGAGTAAAGGGAAGGTGTTGTTTATTTCATATAAAATATTGAAGTATTACAAGGTCTCTTACTATCTCATTGGCAGGGTGAAGTCTTTGTCGGAATTTTAATTCATTTTTCTGTTAGTATAATTTTTGAAAGAGAACTTGACTAATAAAAGGGAAATTTTTGTTGACAAAGAAGTGTAGACATTTGGACATGATTTCAACTGTATATCTTATGTAGTTTGCTCATTCATTCACTCATTTGACACGTGATTATTAGGTGCCTACTATGTGCCAGACACTATCAGACACTACTCTAAGAACTTGAGATGTATCAGTGAGTAAAACTTATACACATTCCCTCACTGTAAGATTCAAAGAGCCAGGAGGTAGAAGTGGAGGAGTGGGTGGGCATGCAATCAGCTACCAATTGTGGCCATGTCAATTGTACATGCAGGTCCTGAAAACAAATATCACAAGGTCAATGGATGAACTGGACCCACTGTCAGTAAAACTTGGGCTAATACTCCATCTATCACCTGACTACCTTCCCTAAAACAAAGCCAAAAAAATTTTTTTTGATTGATGTACCACAGCGACATTATAACACTCTAGGAATTAGTGTCAATTTACTAGCAATGTCTAGTATTTCCCAAAAGCCTGTGCATTTTCTTTTCCCCAGTAAACAGTCACTAGTAAATGGTTTCAAGGCTCTTTGGGGAAGGCTTGGAGGAAAATTTGTAGTGTGTACTTGTAGCAATGCTTTAGGGTCTTTCCTCAGTGGGTCTCGGCTTCCCTATTAATCAAGGGGCTTTGGGTCTCTGAATTGACTTATGTCTGGAAACTGTGGCAATGGCAGCTCAGGGCAGGTTTTTGTCTGCCAGCCCTAGAGTTTATTTTCCATTAAACAGATCAAGGAATACTCTAGTAGGCAGGCCATCTATTTCTTTTCCAGGAACACCCTAATCCATTAACCACCAGCAAAGATCTCTGTGGCCCAAGGCTAACAGGACACCCTGCAACCCTTCATGGGAAATGATCCCAGCTCATCACTGGCGGTCTGACAAGGGTACGTTGGAATCATGTGTCCTTCAGTGCCGTACCTGGTCTACAAATGAGAGTGACCACAGAGATTTTCAAAGATGCTCGTGCCCCTACCCCCTTCTCAAGTGTATTTCTCGATGCCTTAGTGAACTGAGTGGCTCTTAGATGTTTTTGCTTTACGTGGTTGGGGAGTGGGTGTGCATGTCAGGCTTGGTAAATGCACCCAGTGTTCCTGTCTCTTGAAACCTTTGAGTCCCTCCTCTACATGCCAAAGGGCCCTGGCATCTTACCCTCATGGAATACAGGCCACTGTTGAGTACAAGTTTTAGTCAACCAACAAATTAAGCTACCACCTCAGCTGCATGAACTAACATATTAAATCTGAAATTTCTAGTACATGCACCCATATCAATGAGTTCAGTCTGATCTCATGCCATATTTTATCCTTCTTGGCCCCAAATTTTATTTTGATTTATTTTTTATTTGTATATTTTATTTTATTATAGGTATATGGGGTCCAGGTGAGGATTAAGTACGTAAGTAGGCCACATGCGGGTGAAGTTTGGGCTTCTAATTGGCCCTCACTTGCCTTGGTAATGACCCAAGAACCCTTTGTGTTGTCATTTGACCCAAGTACCTCCACTCTCCTGCCTCCCTTCCTCCCCTAGCAGTGCCCAGTGATCCCTCTCTTGTGCTAATGTGATTTATATTCAATTGGTCTAAAATTTTAGAATCCGGTTCTGCACATACTCTCTGTGTTGCTGCTGATATCTAATAGCAAAAGCTTGCAATTCTTGTGGAGTGTAAGTGATTTCTTCCTAGGTCATAGTATGCACTGACTCCCCTGGATTATGTCGAAATGTGACCCTCGTTGTGGAATTGACTCTCATTGTTGAGAGTCTTATGAGAAATGAGCATCTTTCTTCAAGATGTCTGTCCCAGATGAGGTTATCATTGAGCCTGCAAGCAAAGAAACACTTCTTCTCTGACACAGGGTGACGAATTATTTCCACTAGCAGTAAAGTCTCAGGGTAACTTACATTTAAGACTGTTCGTTTCATCTGGGTCCCATGAGATGTCCCTATTTCAAGTTAGGATCCTACTTATTTTTCTGACTTTCGTTTGAGAGATTTGATGATGTGTGAATTCAATTGGCATTGTCATTAACAACCTTTCTATTTGAATTTTGCTTTTGATTGTCAGCCATATCAGTGCTGTGGCAGCACAAAGCAACAGATTCTTTTAGGGCTGTCATGGAATCTTCCCGGTCTAAAACCATGACTTGAGCTGAAAATTAAGGACCCAAGCCTGTCATTTCCTTTCTGTAAATGTGCAAGTGTGTTCATAAGAATCCGTTCTACCCCACGGTTCTTGTAGTTTCTATTACTAACTAACAACTAAGAACAGTAGCCATTTACCTTCAAAGACACCTGCTTCAGTTGTCACTTGATTAAGATGATGACCCAATTGTGATGCCATTGTCCACCATGGATGACTGGCACCCTACATCCTATAGACAACAAACAAATAGACAAAACCCAGCATTAGACTGAGTTTCAAAGGCACGATCAAATTGATTCCCAAACCCAACTTTATGAGTTTTTCTTCTGGGACACTCCTAGAACCTGTGTCTGTATCAGTGAGAGTCCAGCCAGAAACCACACAGAAATTTCAGCAGGGACGTTTTGATATAAAGAACTGTTATCTATAACGTGTATTATCTACTAAGGAGGGGAAGAGAAATCTAAGGAACATAGAAAAAGCGGATTGGAAGTCACGACCTCTAGGGCTGAAGCCGAGTCCCCACAAAAAGGAACAAATACGGAAGTGGACACCCCCGCCCTAGGCTGAGGTCCAGATCTTACTGGAGAGGTCAGAAAAATGACTAAGGTGCTATGCTAGAGAGCATGAAGCAAAGTGTCCCTCTGAGGGACTAGGGCATGCCAACCACAGTACGGCATCATGCAGTGGGGCTTTCTGGGAATTGGTGCTCAAAGGTGTTGTGCTGGGAAGCACCATCTATGGGACCAGGGAGGCCACCCATGGGTAGGCGTTGCTCTGTGAGACCCTCTTGAGAGCTGCCTATGGGGTGGTGCCACTGGATCTGTCTGGGGGTGAGCAACCACCACTAGGGGATCCATAGGTGCTGATCACTATTAGCTTCTGGACCAGCAAGGCAAGACAGGAGTATCTCTGGAACCTGAGAGTCAAGCTCCACCCTCCTCCTCCCGTGGCCCTGCAGAATCCTTTTCTGATAGAACTTAGCATCCTGCCCTGTGGCAAGGGAGAAAGCCAGGCAAGGAGGAGTGGCCTTGGCGCTGACAACATTGGTGACAGAAACACGTAACCTGGGAGGCAGGGCAAGGAGCTGCCTCGTGGTACTTACTCTGAGTTCTCATTGCCTTACCTGTGACTTCTCTCTCTAGCCTGAGGAGTCCTTAAGCCTGGGGCTGAGTAGCCTGGCTCTTATCTATCAAGTTTTGTCCAAAATCTGGTGTTCTTTTTAGTCATGGTAATGGCTGCCTTTTTGAGACGCAAGAGCCTAAAATGGATTACTTTTCCATTTTCTGCTGTCAGCTTTTCTCTTAGGCAATCACACAGAACTGTCTAACTGATTAAATGAGAGTGGGTGAAAGGGGTACAGGAAATATTGGGGGAGGAAGCTTGATTAATAAATCAAAATATATCCACCACATCTACAGTGAATAAAGATATTAGATTCAAAAATGCCTTTCCATTTAAATATGATGATAGAAATATGGGGAAAGCATTCTTTAACTTTAGTGTTATGGAAATAGCTTTAAATAGCTTTTCAGTTACTTCCACTATTAATGATTAAATTGAGAGAAATATCCTTGAAATTTAAATACAGTTTTCCTATGCCGGTCTTGCTAATTTTTATGTAATAAAAACTTTTTTTTTTAATGGATATATTCCATTTCTTTATTGGATTTCAAAGTATTTTAAAGCAAGAATGAAATTATTATAAATATCTTATTATTATGCTCTTAAACTGCCAGTGTAACAAATGATTTCTTTTTTTTTTTTTTTTGGCCTGATGGCATTCCTTGCCATGAGTTCACATATAACTATTGTGTTTTTCAAACGTATTTCCAGGATACTTTAAAGTTTATAGCATTGCACAGTCAGGAATGATTCCTCTCTGGAGAACTTTAACTTACAGTGCTAAAGTAAGTCAGTGCTTTTCAAATACAGAAGAAAAATACACGTCTCAACATTGTACTAATGAATTTTCTAGAGGTTAAACACCAAGATCGGTTTTCTCTCTCTGCTAACTGCAAAGGAAAATGGAAAGTAAGGCTGCACTGAAAAAAAAAAAAAAAAGCAGACAGGCAAACAAAAGTCCCTATTGTTCACATATTTATTTATTAGTGAAACTCTCACAGACTCAGACTTGGTGTCCACCCTGAATGGTGGGGCCAGACACCTCGACAACCAACGGATGGACTTACAAGGAAACCTTCTTACTTTTGGCCGGTAGTGTGGCCTTTCCTGTACAGTTTTCATGGAGACAGATCTATGAAAATCATCTAAAAGCAACTACTGTTTTCCAAGGCAGGATGGTAAAATCCTTGCCCTGCTTTCACTGATTTGACTCTGTTTCATCAAAACCAAAATGGCGACCTTCAGACCAGTAAGCTGGGCATGAAGTCAGTGGTTCATTTCCGTTGCTGGAAACCAAAATCCATCTTTGGGCATCAGCAGTGACCAAAGTACATGTGGTGACTTTCAGTACAAGTCTTCCCGTGCTATTGCTGAGGTAAGACCTGCACAGTCAAATTAAGCATTGGTTTAACTTTACATTTACGCTTTGTTAAATAAATGCTTTGAAAATCGGGATATACAGCATCTTTTAAAAATTAATCAGCAGTCTCCTAGAGAACAGACAGGCCGGTTGTTTGAAGCTCCTTTGGATTGGCCATTTTCACAACCACAATCATTGCCAATAGAAAAAATATGTGGTTGGAACGGCACTGTGCCCTCTCAGATGAAAATGATGAGACTGGCTGTCATGGATGAAACGCCTTGGAAAACAGTAGTTGCTTTTAGATGATTTTCATAGATCTGTGTGTCTCTTCCGCAGCAGTGCTGGATAAATAGAACCATCCACACCTACTCATCTGGATCACCTGATCACTAAAGGAAAGGGGCACTGAGATGAAACAGGATAAGATATGTAGGGTAAAGTTGTGTTTCTTAAATTGGCTCATGTTTCCAGGTTTTGTAAATTCTAAGAGCAGTGTTACATTTTATGTCGCTTGATGCTAATCTTTGAACATTTTTCTTTAGCATTTAGGGAAATAGACTCTTAAGTAGTAATGTGTCAAAATGACTTTTTTCTATTTAAAAAAGAGTAGGATGCTAATTTGCCACTTTATTAAATGGAGCCCTGTAAGCTTCTGAAAGGTAGTTCTTCAGAAAGAATCCATATATTATGCAAGTTGGAGAAAATCTAGTATAAAACTTCCGTGTCAGATTTTATTTATTTTTTTTTGTCACTTTGTGTGGTGCAGTAAAAACAAGCAAGCAAAAAACAAGCTGTTTGATGTGTAACTTTGAGGAAATCGTTATCTTTTCAAGGGTCAGTTTCTTCATTAGTAAGATGAGGGACTTTATGGGACTTCTGCCAGCCTGGAAGGAAATAAATTATGTGAAAATGTTTATAAATCTAAAGTGCTACCCTACAATAATGCCAGGGGTGGCGGTGTTTGTTCTAGTCCAATGGCTGTGCCAAAAGACTTCCTACCTCAAAAAGTATCCCTGCATGTTACATAATGTTTTTAAGCTCTGGTGTCCTTGCCAATAAAGTAGCACCTGCTTTACAAGTTTGTCATGGGGGAAAAAAGAGTGAGACAAAGCCCATCATAGAGGATGTGTGGTGTCTGGTACATATGAATCATAGGCATTAATATTTTATTCTTACTATGATAGCCCTTACATATATTACGATATTTATATCGTCCGCACAATGCATGGGTCATCATTCTGTGTAAAACTTTAAATTCTTGCACGCACATTTTAAAGACAGGGTACTGTCCATGGTGAAAAAAAAAAGTATTACAGTAAGATCAATGGCTTTCTTTTTTCTTTTTATTTTTTTGAGTTGGAATCTCACTCCATTGCCCAGGCTGGCGTGCAGTGGCCACTCCCGGCCACCGCAGCCTCGACCTACTGGGCTCAGGTGATCCTTCAGCCTCAGCCTTCCAAGTAGCCAGAACTACAGGCGCGCGTAATCATACCTGGCTAATTTTTCTTTGACTTATTGTAGAGATGCGGTCTCGCCAAATTGCCCAGGCTGGTCTCAAACGCGTAGGGTCTGGCAATCCCCTCACCTCGGCCTCCCAAAGTGCTGGGATTACAGGCTTGAGCCAGAGTGCCCGGCCAACCACTTTCTAATACTGACCTGTGCATGCATCTTGAGCAGACTGAGTATGAACTTGCTCAAGTTGAGTTTTTATGAGGATTAATTCAAGCCATCAGGAGGAGTAAAAGCAACGCAGGTTAACTAGAGCCTTATCAGGTTGAATGAACATCAGGAGTTTTTGGAATATCTGAATTAATAATCTGATACTGATAGCTGCCCGTATTTGGCTAAGTCCAGTTTGAAGGTGCCTATTACTGGAGTTTCATGCCTTCAAAAGCTTGTTCTAGCAAAGAAGTCTTGATGCCTCTTCCCATTGGCAGCTACGTAGCTGTCAGCCGAGCGGCACCTAGACGGTTCTGGGCCAACACTGACCTCTGGTGTTGGATTTGAGGAAGTGGTCACTGCCGGTGCATCCCTTTAGGGAAGCAAACCCAGTGTCCCTCTAGGTACGGGTCCCCTCACCGCGCCAACCCATTTCCCCCACCAGGAGAGTATGCTCCTTGCTTTCAAGGTCTGTTTCCAGTTTAAGTTAAATTCATTTATCTTATGCTGTTTCTTCTACACACATGCATAATGTGTACTCATCTCCCCTCGCTGCTGCCTTCAAATGATTTGCTCCTTCTTGCTCAGAGAAATCTAGGGTAGAAAGTGAATCCCATTCGGATCAAGGTGAAAGAAAGCTGTGATATTTATCAAAAGAGATAAGCAAAGACTCAGTGCTGCCGATCTACGATACCTTCAAAGTATACTTCATGACTTCAGTATCTCCAGAACAGTCTTATTCTTCCCTAATTAAACCTACTTTGACTCCGGCACTAGTCCACAATTGCATTGTTTTTCTGTTTTATATACTTAACAGTACTTCATAATGGGCCTTGCCTTCTGTTGCATTTTGGCCAGGCATCAGCGGTTGCGAGTCCCTGTAGACCATATTCTTTGCTCTCCCATTACCTGTATATGTCCCTCTGTGTTATGCTGGATCGGTGGATCGGCGTACCTTTGGTCAGTCAGGATAAGGTAAGTTACACTGCATCAGCAAATACACCCTGAGATCCCTTGGCTTGGCACAGTAGTGTCTTATTTCTCACTCACTCAAAGAGGCCCTGCTCCTTCCTCCCTGTGACTGTGCCATCGGGAGGGTGAACTCCGAGCCCCTCACGGTAGGGAGGACAGAAAAGGAGATGTGCACTGGCTTGGAATTGCCTCGTTCTCAGAGTGACACGTGTCGCTTTTTGGCCAGAAGGCACCAGTCAGAACTGCAAGTGTGTCTAGAAAATGGAGCAGGAGTGGGTAATAATTGTATCTGACACATTCCTCTCTCTTGTGAGCTGAGCTTTGACTTATATTCTCATTTAATTTTGAGAGCTCCTACTGCGCCGTGTTCCTTCTCCATTAGCCTTCTTTTTTCTTACTTGTTTCTTTCCTTTCAGGTTCTCTCCATCACTTAAGCAAGACCAAACGTTATCTGCACTCCAAGACCCTTTTAATTCTGACCCTCTTTCTTTTCCATGACCCCTCCATTCCGAATGTCACTTCTTCCCCCTGTGCACTTCAGGGTCTTTGCTTTCCTTGTGTAGATCCAACCTGCAGAAGTACGACAGATCAATTTCTTTAAGTTCCCGTTTTCATTTAGTTACTGTGTTTCCTAAGATCCTGTAGTGACTTTCTACTACTTACTTGTTAAATCTCACTCATCCTGGTCTGGTCCTAATACATACACATCCATTCTTTCTTTCTTCTGGGTAGGTTTGGTCCCTAAATCCCATCTCTCTTCAGCAGATGGTTTCAGGAGCACTCATTGACAGGCACTTGACTGCATGAATGCAGATATGTGCTTCCTGGGCCAATGTATCATCCTTCCGGACCAGGGCCATGGCTATGGTGTTTCGCCTGGCTCTGGGAATGCTTAAGCACCTAGTCGGGCACAGTGGCTCACGCCTACAAATCCCAGCACTTTGGGAGGTGGAGGCAAGAGGATTGCCTGAGTCCAGGGGTTCGAGACCAGCCTGGGCAACTTGGAAAGACCTCGTCTCTACAATACATTAAAAAATTAGCCAGGCATGGTGGCTCATTTCCAGCTACTTGGAAGGCTGAGAATCAACTGAGCCCAGCAGGTCATGCAGAGTGCCACTGCACTCCAGCCTGGGCAACAGATTGAGACTCCAACTCAAAAAGCACCCTTCCTATCAAGCCTGGTCTTTACAAACTTCAATGTATATGTGCAATGAATACATAACTTAGTTATATTAAAAAATCAATAAGCAAAAAAAATAAGACAAATGGTATATTAGCCTTTGAAAGAGTGTGAGCAATGTACTTTTTGCCTTCTGGATTGCAAGGTAAAAATTATAGCATGTAGTCATGCTATCATGGAAATGTGTGCTTAGCCCTACGAGTGAATATTGTTACAGTGACCCTCAGTGAACACTTTCAGTAGTCAGCTGTGCGGTGTTAATAACTTGCTTGTAATGATTGTTTTCTCATTTTCTGCAGCTTCCCCCAGCTTTGCACCACAATTTGAAAAGAAGGGTCATAGAGAGGTTCAAGAAGTCCCTCTTCAGCCAGCAGAGTAACCCTTGTAATCTGAAATCTGAAATTAAGAAGGTATGGTGTTCTATATCTAGGCATTCATTTGCTAACAAAAACACATCATAAGAGCGACATCATATGCCTACTTTGTACTTTAAGCTCTAGCCTCTATTAAAGGTTATTATTACTGCTTAAGATACTAAATTAAGGGTATGGCTTTGCCTCTAATTTTCTCTTTTATTTCTGTGGCCCCTTTTTTCAGGTGACTAACAAAAAGTTTTTTCAGTATGACTGCATGTTTTCCTAGGAATAAATGTCATTACACATCTTTCATTTGAAACATGCATATTTTAACTGCTTTTAGAGAAGTCTACTTTGATATTTTATTAAAATAATCTTCAAAAGCCCCTAAATTGAGCTTTGCAACTCGGAAGAAGTCATTTAACCATCTGGGACTATTAGTTTGTATCATGTATGAGAGTTGACTCAACTATTTCTAAGATTCTTTCCACCTTTGACACTCCACAGTTTTTTAGAGCCTGGGTACTAGCAAATATTTCCATGCATACATATAGAAACTAAACTACAAAGAGGCTAAATCAACCAGGCAAAAATAAAACTGTTTACCTCTGGTTAACAAAACCTGGAGGTGGTAAATCCCTTTGTCTTATGGATGCATTTTTGATACAGCCTCTGGAAGTGGCCACTAGCACCCCATTCTCCTGACTGCAAGGTCCGAGGTCCAAGCAACTCAGGCCCACCTGGGTAAAGATTCTTGGTCCCACTCCATTTCTATATTTTAAAAAACGTTTCACCCTAAACCTCAACCTTGGCATAACCATGATGCCCATGACTTTTCCCTTAAGGTTTCTCTTTCCTTTAATGGATTCAATCTTCAGCATAAACTTGCCCATTATTTAGAAAATATGATAGGCTCTTTGATAAGGAACGTGAACAGTGTGTTTTAGCTTTGCTGTCTTACATCAGTAGTGTCTGCACGTGCACACACACACACACACACACACACACACACACACACACACACAGACACAAAGGAGATGGGAGCAAGGGCACAGCTGCAGGTAAACAAAACAGACACCCTTCCTCATCAGAGATGAGAGAGCAGGCTTTCTTTCATGGGCTGCATTGGCAAAGGGCCAAGAAACAAAGCTTGAGGAGATCAAAACAGAAGTAGAGACCTGGAATATTTATTTTACGGTATTTATATACTGTATCATGAATACTAATAAACATGTCTTAAAAAGACAAAAACTCAAATCTCCCATGGAAAGAGAACATGTTGCTTGGTTTTTACATTCTTATTAAAATGGTATTCAGAATAATCCAGTTTGAACAAAAGCTTATTTTAACAAAAACCCTAGTTTTAAGAGACGGAAGCATTTGCAGCAAACTGTCATACACAAAGGTCGATTCAAGGCTCCCCACTCAGTGATTTTCCATCTGTGCTTGTTCTTCAAGCAAATTATTTTCTCTTTTATTACTTGGGTTTTGCATCTCTTCCTCACTGTCTTACTTTTCTCCTTTGAATGAAAAGCGAATTTTTTTGTTATCCCCCACCCCCTATCTGCCTTCCTTTGTGCTGTGGTAACACCTCTCATTAGAACTCTTACCTTCTGATCCTTTTGGTCTGGGAAAATTAAAACAGGAATTAATGGGATGTTTGGGAAGCAGTGGTGAGGGAACCCAAAGGGATCATCTTATTGTTAACTTGGTGATGAGGCAGACTAAACTCTCCCATGAAAAATGCCATGGTCTTCTTCTTTGATATTACAAGTTTATGGTGGTCTATGTGATGTCTGGTATGGACCTTCAGGTAGGGAGAGGTCCTATAAACTGATTTAAGTCTTAAAGGTTGGGAAGGGAGGACACTCAGCTCCAGGCCCAGCTTGTAGTCAACAGTGGCATGGTCCCATTTCTCCCAAGGCCACCCAGTCTTGAAGCAGTGCCCCATGAAGCTGGCTCATAGCATCACAGGGCTCACACCCCTGATCAGGTAGGTCAGCTGGCCACTCGTGCTAAAGACATCTTCAGCTTGGGATTTATAATACTTCCTATTCTTCACCGCTGAAATGAGAAGCCAGCTTCTCAAAAACACCTTCCTTAGTCCCCTGCCCAGCATTAATCTTCTCTTTCTCTATGCTTGAATGACCTTGTCACTCATATTGTTTTGCCTTAAATAGCTTGTATCTTCCTTGCTCTTCTGTTTCCCCAAAGGCAGTGAGTATGTCAGGGTCTTTCACAGTGCCTGGTCCGTGATAGGTGATAGGAATTACTGGATATGGACTATATTTTATGCTGACATGCATTTGGTGTAGTATATTTCACATTTGTTCTGTTCTTTTTCTTTTCCTTTTCTTTTTTTTTTTTTTGAGTTGAAGTCTCACTCTGTCTCACTCTGTCACCCAGACTGGCCTGGGAGCGGCCACCGCAGCCTCCCCTGCTGGCTCCGGCGATCCTTCTGCCTCAGCCTTCCGAGTAGCCGGAATTACAGGCATGCGCTACCACGCCCGGCTGATTTTTTGATTTATTGTAGAGATGAGGTCCCGCTGCCCAGGCGGGTCTTGAACCCGCAGGCTCAGGCAATCCACTCACCTCAGCCTCCCAAAGGCGCGGGATTACAGGCTGAGCCACCGAGCCCTGCTTGTTCTATTCTTTATTGAAGTATATAATGTATTCATATACACAGTTCTGTGTGAATGTAGAAAGAAGTGATTCTTCCCCCATCTGAACCTAAGTGAGAAGAGTTTGTGATCTCTGTTTCTTTTCCCCTTTCTGATATAATCTTTTGCTAGCAATAATTTTTGTTCAGAAATGGATTTTTTTTCATCCCCTATATAGTCACAGAGGAGCGGCCAATTAGCCTTTGACTAACACAGTCACCTCACACCAGGGCCATGGATGCAGTAAGTGGTGATGGAACATAAATGGACTTGATTTTCACCTTTCTCTCTCAAGCTTTTCCTGAAGTCCACAGACCCCATGTCCCTAGTTTGAAGGAGTCATCATGAAATGATTGTTCCTACTTATAAGTGGTCTAAGACCCAGCAGGCTATATAGAAGACTGAAAAAATGAAAAAGCCCCTTTCTAAGAAATTAAGCTCTTTATTTATAACACACTTAAAGGTGTCTTCAGTCCAGTCTGCTCAGTCTTGACTAGAATTGTGAGGAGAAGACAACAACTAAGTTGTTGTATAGGTGTCTTTGGTAACTAGGACTTGCTCATGGGAGAAAGGAGAAAGAGAATAAAGATAGAAGGGATGAACTCGAATTAGAATGGGAAGTCTCAGCTTGAATGAGCACGAGTTCATAGTAAATCTCATCCATTAAAAATATACATATGTCCTCAGATTTTACTAAAAGGGTTTAGAAACTAACCAATGAGCTCCACTACCCATGACTCCTCAGAGACACAGCTGGTTGCAGGTCTAGAGTAGGAAACATACAAGATTAGACTGGACTGTCTTGACAACAGAAAGCAGCACAGTAACTACTGAGGCCGGGCTCAGTGGCTCAGCCTGTAATCCTGTGCTTTGGGAGGCCGAGGTGAGTGGATTGCCTGAGCCCGTGGGTTCAAGACCTGCCCGGGCAACTTGGGGAGACCTCATCTCTACAATAAATCAAAAAAATTAGCCGGGCGTGGTAGCGCGCTCCTGTATTTCCGGCTACTTGGAAGACGGAGGCGGAAGGATCGCCGGAGCCCAGCAGGTCGAGGCTGCAGTGGCCGGGAGCGGCCACTGCCCTTCATTCTGGGCGACAGAGTGAGACTCCAACTAAAAGACTACTGAAGGTGTATCAGAAGTTGTCAGCGGCCAAGTTGAAGAGGCTCCCACTGGTCATCTATGAGATAACTGGAGTATCAATACGAATACTTACCATAATTGATTGACAGCATTATGTTTAAATCCAAGAGCTCATAATGATACCAAAGAAGAAAAAAAGGAAATCTCTCATAGGTAACCTTTGGAGGATGCTAAGCCACCAACTTATTATTTTAAAGATTATTTATAAAAGAAAGAATCAGACATGTTGCCACCTTTCCCTTTTGCCTTCTATCTCAGAGTAACTAAATCATTGAGGGGGAAGTTTCTCTTTCTAGAAGTACTGCAGCTAATAAATGCCAAAGGGATGAAGAATGTGACCATTTACAGTTTCTAATGAAATAATGGATTATTTCAGAAAGGACAGTCAGATAGTATATGCGCCCCGAAGGAGGTGCATAGCACTATCTACGAATTATTCTTGCTTAAAGCTTGAAAGTACATCTGATCAGGCCTGCAGGTTAGAAGTCAGCAAACAACAGGCCTCGGGCCAATCTGTTCTGCTGTGTGTTTTTGTAAAGAAAGTTTTGTAACTTTTTATGTTAGGGTTGTGAAGTACAAGTGAGTATTTACTACACACATAAGTAGCATACAGGTGAAGTTTGGGCTTCTAGCCGACCCTCTCTCCCTGGATGGTGAACCAGTTACCCAATGTGTTGTCATGTGCCCCTTCCCTTTTCCCTCCCTCCCTCCAGTCCAGTGTCTGCTGATTCCACCCTTGCACTCATATCATATATCCAGTAGTCAGGGCTTGCTTATGGGTGAGAACATGTGGGATTCAGTTCTTTGTTCCTGTGATAGTTCGCAGGATAGTCTCTAGCTGCATCCAAGTTGCTGCGATGGCCATGATTTTGTTCTTCTTTATGGCTGCATCATGTAAATAAAGTTTTGTTGGCAAGCAATCTCCTCCATTCACTTGTATATTGTCTATGGCTGCTTTTCAGTTACAGGCAAAGGTGAGTAGCTGTGGCAGGGACCATGTGACCCGCAAAGCTGAAAATGTTTACCATCTATCCTTTACTGCAGAAGCGTGCCACTCTCTGCCCTGGATCTCTCTCCACCTTCAGCAAATACAGGGGACAAGAGGACATGTTAAGTGGCATGTTCTCCCCATAGAGATAATGAGCAGAATCCAGACTGGAAAGTTCTACAGGAAAAGTGGCCCGTTGTCTTCAATAAATAAATAGCAAGGAGGGGAGGACAGACAGGGCAAAGAAAGGGGAGAGAAGGCGGGGG